TACATACCATGCTTTCAAAATCTGAAAAGGGGAAAGAAAATACTAATTTTCCAGTACAACTTATTTTATCATTTTCATAATGCCATTGTCCTTGTAAAAGCTTGAAATAGTTAGCAATTTATTGCATTTAAAATTTAGTCATAAATTTTTTTAAGTTTCTAACAGTATATTAATGAATAGAAATTCAATGTAAAACAGAAATATACTTTTTTATACCAAAAAAATTATACAGAATAGGCCAAACCCATATAGTTTCTTGGCATGGATGGAAAGAAAATATTGTAAGAACACATTTTTTAAAACAAAATTTCTTGTTTAATTTGTTCTAAGTTTTCTGTAACATAATTGTTACATGGACTGCTTTTATGTATGACATGTACATATTGGAATTGACAGAATCTCTAGGGCAATGTTCTTAGAATTCGGTGATATCTGAGATCACACTTAGCACTACTTACCAAATTATTCATTATATTCTGCTTAGAGTAAGATTTACAGTAAATGTTGTAAATGTTGGTTGACAAATATGAGGTTATGTGGTTTGGCAGTCAGAAATCTGTCAGATGGTTTTGCTTAGATCTAGTTTTCTTTCTCAAAAAAACCTGTGTTCAGCCTCTTCAAATTACCTAACACTTTCCAGTCCTTCTCTTTCTTTACCCTTCCAGGGCACATTTAAAACCCTCTCCTTTTTGACAGTGCTCTCCTTTAGCCTCCATTCATCATACTCTTCTTATCTCCCTGATCTTTCTTTCCCAGCCTCCTATATGGGCTTCCTTGGACTCTCCGTTTGATGGTGGCCGTTCCCAGAGTCCCCTCCTTAAGTTCAGCTCTTTTCACTTACATGTCTTCTTTGGGATCTCATCTATCATTACAGCTTCAAAATGCAATTCATGGAGCTGGTGATAAACTACAAATGTACATCTTTATGCCTTACATCTTTTCTGAGTTTCAGTTTTTTAGCTGTATAGTTAGAATTTCTGCCTGTTTCTCTCAAACATCTCAAGTTAAAAAAGTTCCAAACTCAGCTTAACTTCAAAATGTGTTCTTCCCTCTGGGTCCTATCCTCGGTTAATATCAGTATCATCACCTCACTTGTCAATCAAGCTAGAAGCCTGAGATATTTATCCAATCGCAAAGTCCTGTTCATTTCTTCCAGTAGATATCTATTTGAATATGTGTTCTCTTCTTCATCATAAAGCCTACTTCAAGCTCTCATCATTTATCACTGGATTATTTATTATCTATCCACATTAAACACAAGGAATGTCTTTCTGTAATATTGATTTGCTTGTCTGATGCTCCTGTTTAACTTAAACTCCTTCATAGACATCACTAATCACCTCAGAGTAAAAGCTGAAGTCTTCAGGAAGGCTCCCCAGGATTCGCACATGGCTAAGTAGTTAGGTTTATAGTCTATCAGTTTCCTAGCCATTTTGGTATACTTTTAATTCTTCAACTGTGCCATATTTTCAGATGCATTCACCCATGCTATGTTTTGTTTTTGTTTTTGTTTTTTTTGTAGTCTGAAGCTAACTGCATTCCACTTGTCACAGTAATTGGTTCAGAACTCTGGGCCCATGCCAATCAGCACATTCTCCTACTGGAGAAGTCCTTCAAAAATTGGCATGTGACTCAATTCAAGACATTGGGATAAAAGGGGAGATTTGCTTGGTGCTCCTTGGAAAAAAATTTTTTTCTCCCTCTTAGGAGAAAAGGAAGAGACACCCTTTCTCCTGCTGGGTGTCCCGGTCAGAGGTCTAACCTAAAACTGCTGCAGCCATTTTGCCCCCATCATGGAAGGCAGCCTAAGGAAAACAAAGTCTAGGAGAGGGCATAGCTGAGCATATCTCACACAAAGTGAGCAAGAGACTGGCTTAAACCAATCCTGAAGTCCGTGACCCTCTCTGGACTTCCAGATACACAAGCCATTAAATTTCTGGTTTATGTCAGTTTGGATCAGTTTTTCAGATATTTGTGAATCAAGGCCTCCAAAATGATAAATAAACTTGTTAAAAATTTCTCAAGGAGGGCCGGCCGAGTGGTGCGATAGTTAAGAACTGGCTTGGGACGCCAGAGGGCCCTGGTTCGGATCCCACATATGAGGGCCAGTGACACTGCCCTCCACAGCTAAGATGCTGAACAACAGCTCAACCTGGAGCTGGGCTACTGTGAGTCGCCGGTGACGGCGTAGGCTGCAGCCACTGTGGCAGTAGGTTGCCATGGGCTACTGTATGTAGCCAGCGGCCAGCAGCCAGCGTGAGCGGCCAGCAGCCGCAGTGAGGGGCCATCCAGAAGCTGGCAACTGATCTGCCTCGCCTGGGAAGAACGCAATGATGGTGCCAACTTGGGCCAGTGAAGCAACGTCCTCCACAGCTAGACTGAAGAACAAAAGGACAGCAACTTGTCTGTTCCCCTTCCCCAATTCCCCAGCGCTGTTTCCATCCCTCCAATTCTCCAATAAAAATCTTTAAAAAAAAAAAATTCTCAAGGGGAGGTAGGTGGGTCGAGGCACATTAGGTGTGCAGAGCATGAAAGAAAACAATTTGCATTGTTAAGACTGCCTTTTACCCCCAAATAGATTTGGATGCACTTGTTACACTCGGGCAATACACACTTTATATCTGAGAGATGATACTTCCAAATCTGATTATGACATATGGTCTTGAAGAACTAATACTACAAAAGAGCTAAATGCATACATCCTTCTGAAGATAAATGTTAATGCTAAATTTAAATTTAAATTGATGGATAAATATTGGGCATGACTACACTGAAATGCAGTAAAAAAAAAGAAAAAAGCACCAAACATCTTAATTTTTTAAATCTGGGGCTAAGTCTAGCCCAAAAATAAATGGAAAACATTCTTATTTTTCATATAGAATTTTTAAATACTTTATTGAGAGCCTTTTACATACAATTATTTTGAAGCAAAACTTTTCAAGTTTCTATTCTAAGGAGAATTGCGAAACATGGACCTTTTGTACAATAAAATATTTAATGCAGAAACCACAAATTTAATATCATTCCATGTGTTCTTCTATGTTCCAGATTTTTTTTCTTAAAAAAGAAAAATGTCAAGCATCTTTCAATTTTGTACTCTTTTTGTTGTCAGGAAGGGTATTTGGAAGTAGAGCACAAAGAAGCTCTTTATTATGGAAGGAAATGCCTGGAAATAAGAGTTAATGCCTAAATGAAAGACTTAAGTTCCTAATTTTTAAGAGTTTGGATCAATTCTGGGCCCCATAAGTGCTTTGATTGTTGGTATAACTTTAGATGTAAGAGAATCAGAAGGCAAGTTTTTTAAAGGTTTTTCACTTTTGTACTTCTTGTTGCTGTACTTTGCTCTTTGCTCTCCTCTCTCTTTCTCTCTCTCTCTCTCTCTCTCTCTCTCTCTCTCTCTCTCTCTCTCTCTCTCTCTCTCTTTTTGGTCTTTCTTATCCAGACGTGATTGATCAATTTATTTGGTGATCACAGTCCCGCTCTTGTAGTTTCCTTTCTCTCCTGAACCCATGTTCAGTTTTATTACGATGCACTGCACTAAGATAGCTACACAAGATGCAACAGGTCCTAATTTTGCACATATGGTTTCATTTTGATGGATTAAGTCTGATGGTAACTCACCACATTATATATTCACTCCTCATGTAGTCAATTCATGTTAGAATTCTGATCTCTCTTGGGGAATTGGTAGATTTTGATTTGTACAACTGTGCCTTCAGCGGCTAACTGTTCAGCCTCAAATGAAGATATTATTTCAGAGAATGTCTGAATCTGGCAACTTTTTAAATATGAACATTCCAAGAAGACACAAGCATATAGTTATTTCACGGTACATCTCGTAGGCAAGAGTGCCTTGTCAGAATAAATGGAGAAGAAAAGAATGAATAGACCAACAGAGGAATTCAAGAAGGCATTGCCAACTATTTCTTAATTGTGAGGGTTAAAGTTTTTTTCTTGTATTTACAATATCATTTTTTTCTGTGTTGTTTTTTCTTTATCAATACATTTCTGAAAAATAGATGCAGTTAAAAAGAAACTAAATGCTCAGATTCACATTTCAATAATCATCTATTTGAGGCTTGTATAATTGGTCTCTGTATTCACTAGTCTTTGCTGGGGGCAGCCAACTTCCAGCATCCACGGCTGGATTTTCCTCACAATGGCTTATTTCCTTTTAAATGTATTAGCAGTTAGCTGCCAGTGTACCTAATTGTAGCTTTGTTTGACTTTCCACCTCCTCTCTCTGCTTATTGAACTAGAAGAAAAGTACATTAAAGCTTATATAAATGGCCAGCTTTCCTGCTTTAGGGAAAGTTTAAAAGAAAGCAGACCTTTCATTAATGTGCAAGGGAATAGACTAGTCCCAGCATTGAGTAAGCTAAATAAGTGCCGGGAGGCACAATAGGAAAACTGGACACCTCCCAAAGCCTCCCAGGTTTGCCCTGTGCCATGTTTCTGTATTATTTTAGATTTGAAGTTAGTTCCCAGAATGTCAAATATACCCGTATTCAGATGTAAGTACAAAAACATTTCCTGAAGCCAAAGAGAAAAAAAATAAAGGATTTGCCACCTTCCATTGGTTCAAATAATGTGTGAAAATTATTTTTAAATGTAGCTATTCCATATTTTAAAATATAATCCCTGTAGGTGTTTTTTTAAAGTTGTAGTAGGATAATTCCTAATTGATGTAGAGTGGGAACTGAAACATCGACATCTTTACTTATTTCCAATTTAAATTGCATTTGGGGGGGAGAAAAAAAGGATATAGAGTTTTGCTTTAGTTGGCCTTGTTTTCCTGCCATGGGAGTTGACTTTCATCTCAGTTCCCATAGATATGTGTGAGAAATTCTTTAGGGCCTGAAACAAGAGTATCTTTAGGGTTATGTGATCTGACCTAATCAACCATGAGTGTTCTCATACTCTATTTTTTTTTCAATCCCTTTTAAAAGCTACTTACTGAAGGCCTATCTCAATCGTCTTCTCCTTCTTCCCTTGATTAGACATCGATGAGTGCAGCGTCATTCCTGGGATATGTGAAACTGGCGAATGCTCCAACACCGTGGGAAGCTATTTTTGCATTTGTCCACGTGGATATGTAACCTCAACAGATGGCTCTCAGTGCATCGGTAAGTGTTGTATTTTTGAAGGCACAATACACTGCTTCTTTATAATGACAGAACAGCCCAAACAGGTATGAAGATGGCAACGATTATAAAACTATTGGGAAAATGGCTGAAAGAGTTGTTTAAAATAAACGGCACCAGTATTGAGGGCCTGATAGACCAGGTGCTCTTTGCAAGGAGTTCGGTTTCAGAAGCCATCTGGGTTTGTTTTATGTTGTCAGAGTCATTTGGGAAATGAAGAAAGACTTCCTCAAGACATTGCTCTTACCCAGCGTTAGAGACACAAAGGCATAAGAAAGATTTCCAAAAGTCTGCTTTGGAGACAGACTGTAGCCATTAAAGGTTGTTTTGTTGCTATGAATCATGAATGTAGTCACTGTTTTGTTTACTTAGAACTTGTTTATTCTAGTGAAAATAATAGTCATTACAGAAAAGAAATTGACACCTTTAACTTTGTTCTTTAAGCATATTCAAATTAAAGCCAAATATATTTGTATGGTCTTTGTTTAGGAAGATGGAACAGTGCTTTTGGGTCATGTGTGGGTCATCCATTACTGAGCAAGCTTTAGACTTTAGGGTACTGAGGACTCATGGGATACAGGAATTTGAAGAATTAAACCAGCACCCCCAAATGGAGTCGCTTCATTCACTAGAGGATGGTCATCTGGATGGTGACAGTTTCCCTTCCCCACAGGAAGTGTATGTCAGCAACTAACTGCCAGGACCTCTGTAGATCCTAGTGACGGTGCCCAAGTGATGTGGGTTGACGAGATGGAAATACAGAGTCAGGAATGGAAGCTAGAAGTCCTGTCCCACACACAAGAGGGCTATGGCCTGAATCTGTTTGATAAAATGTACCGATATGCCAGATACTGCTAGTTTTGGCCATCCAGCCAACCCTAAACATGAGCGATGTAGATCCTGCCTTTAGAATACTGTCTTGTAGGCCGGCCGAGTGGCTCAGTTGGTTAAGAGCTCGCTCAAGAGTGTGAGCTCTGAGCAACAGCGGTTCGATTCCCAGTCCGAGCTGAGCAGCCGCTGAGCTGCCAATAGGTGGCAGGATGGCTCAGCTTAAAAAAAAAATAGAATACTATCTTGTCATCACAAATAGTAGTGGAAGAGTAGCACTAGCAGTAATAGGAGAAACAGTGGGAGTGAGAGTAAAAATAACAAATGCTGCTTATGAAACACATATCGTGTGTAAGGAACTGGGTATCTATATTGCGTTATTACCTCAGAGCTTTGGGGCCTTGGGCATGCTACTGACTTCTCTGTATGTACTTCAGTTTTTCCTAGTAAATGTTAAATAAAATATTCCTTATTATTAGTGTCGTTGTTATTATTATTATTATTATTATTAGGAGGAGGAGGAGGAGAATATCCGTGCACTGGACCCATATATTATGCTTTATGATCCTTAAAATAGCCCTGTGTGATAGGTACAGTTATTCACATTTATAGATGAAGGAACTGAGGCGTAGAGAGGTAAGGTGACTTGGACATTGTTACAGGGCCAATAAGTGGAGCTAGGATTTAAATCTAGGTCTCTTTGACTCTTGCGTCAGATTCCTGTTACGAGGACCCTGCACTGCCTTCTTACCCTCTGCCTAGGTAGTAAGGTCTCCAGTGAGTGGCTTCTCAGCCATCATCCTGACAGTCCGCTTGGAGAAGCAGCGTGCAGGTTTGGAGCCTCCCTTTCCCATCTTAGAATGATGAGATTTGAATGACAATTGTTTGTTTTTTTGGGAATGAATCCGAGTTTCTGTCTTCCATTAGGTAAAACATTTTTAGTGACATGTTAAGCTTGTAAAACTGAGCAAATTAACTATTTTTAGGGTCAGTGTTGCCAGTTGGCTCACTGCATAATGAGTCTGATTCATTTAACATAATTTAACATCTATGAGAATTGAAAATTAGCAGAACTACCTAGAGTTGGCTTAATTTTCTTAAACTGTATAGGAAAATAATGTGTGTGTGTGTGTGTACACACACACACACTCACACACACACACACACACACACACACACACACACACACATAATCATCACCTTGAAAGAGGCATGGACTCATCTCTGTAGGAGAAATGTCAATTTGGGAGTCATCACCAAACATCATTGGCTGGATGCCAGACCCTGGGCTTCAGGAAGCTTATATTCTAGAAACTGGCTAAAAGAAATGTAGCTGGAGAGATAAGTGCAGTTATTACCCTGAAGTTCTGGAAATACCAAATAAGCTGTGTGTGTTTTATTTGATAGTCAATGGGGAGTAATTGAAGGCCTTTGAGAATGAATTAGAATGGGGGTGGAGAGGGTAAGAAGAAGAGAGGCAAACTGGTTAGAAGGCAGAATTTTCCATAACAGATGTTAGTGTTTTATATCACATTTCTAAATTAGTTCTTTCTATTTGATTTCCTAAATTGCTAAATCTTTAGTCAAACGAAACTTGTGTTCATTTTTTTTTTTGCATTGAAAAGGAGGCATACTCTTCATCACATTCAGATAGTCAAGATCAAGACTCCTAATGATTTATTGAGGTTGATTTTCTTCAATGTCAAGCATTTGATTTCCTTTCAATTATGATAAACTCTCTATATATCTTGCATATCTAAAAGTCCTAAGTCTTTTCCTGGGTATTGACAGTCCTTTAGAACCTGATCCAGACTGTATTCAGGACTCATCTCTAACCACTGGCCACCTGACACTGCACTCCCGTTATTCTCATTGCCACACATGAGCTCAGTTCCAGACCTCTACCCACAATATCCCCTCTCCCTGAAGCATCTTGGTATCCCCCTCTATGCTCTTTAAAACTCAACTCGTCCTTTAAGTCCCAAATTAGACCCACATTTCTTTAGAGCAGTTCTTACCTAACCCATATTTTCTTGTTGGACAAAATTTGTCAGCCCCTCCCATAATATTTCTTATTTCCTTCATTTCTGGGCTTATATTGTCACAGGTACTTGTGGCTCACTCGTTGACCAGATTCTGAGCTCCATCAGGTCCTGCCTTAGGCAGCTTTATGCCTGTGTGTAGTACCTTGCATACACGTTTGGGCTCCGTCAATCTTTTCTGAAATGAGCAGGCCAAACAACAGATGAGTGAACGAGATGTCGAATGTAAGGATTTCCTTTTGGTTAATAACTGCTTTGCATTGTTTGGCGTCTTGCTGGCCATGAACTGGTGGCACTGAGTGGTGATCCGAGATACTCAGAAGGCGACAGAGAGCTCCTGAGCGTGAGGAACGATGAGTCCTCTGTGAAGCATCCGTCCCTGTTCATTTCATTATCAATGTCCTGACCCAGGAACAGAGGAAAACCCCAAAGGAGGGAGAACGACTCTCTGAAATTATGAAACCCATTTTAAAATAAAGTAAGCAGCTTAAAATTATTTTGAATAACTGTGTTACATTTGGAATAAGTATGTGTTTTCCATATGGGAGAACAAAATAAATCTAACATGGTAATGTGTAAGAGATCTTCGACTTTGATTTTTAAAAATCTGAGTCTGTATTTTCTTAGATTGAATTTATTTATGATTGAATTATATATGCCATGGATATTTCCAGGCTATTTATTTTGTAACCACACATATGCTCACAATAATGAGTTGGACAAACTCAAAACTTTCTTGAGTATGAAACTGTATGTTATCCGCAGCTTTATTCTAAGAGCAGCATATGCTGAATACTGCCCTAATTCCTTATTCTACTTAGCGAAAATATCCTGTGTCTGTACCACACTATAAAGCATCAATAAACTGCCTTTTTCTTTTATGTGTAGGAAAATAGTTTCATATGGCAGGAGAGTTTAGCTGGGCACTTTAATTATAAAAGAAGATAGTTTTTCCATTTCATTTGATGCTAAATATAAAAGTCAAATTCCTAATTTAATTTTATCTAGTGTGTTTCATCAAGATTTTTAAGTATCCAGGAAAGAGCTTTATTTTTCAACAGAGTACTAACATATGTCAGTTCTAAAAAGAGTGGAACATACCTAATCATCTTTGTTAGAAACATTTTTAATAGCACAACTTAATGGCCTTTATGTCAGTGTGGAATTCAGTGTCATTGCAATGTCCATTGTGTTATTAATACCTAATGTTCACATCATAATATAGGTGAGAAGAATGACTGGCAGCCAGCAATGAGTAAAGAATGAATTGACAAGCTAATTCTGTATGCAAGATAATGTCCCCACTGCTATTGTGTGTATAGAGCTCTAGCAGGGACCCTAAGCATGGGGACGGAAAGTGCTAATCAGCAGCTAGTGAAGTTCAGAAAATGAGAGCATTTAGAAATCCTTTTTTAAAAAATATTAGTTTCAGGTGTGTAAAACAATGTAATAGTTAGACATTTATACCCCTCACAAAGTGATAACCTCGCTCCCCCAATCTGCTACCCCTGTGACATCTTATATAGTTGTCACAGTCCCATTGACTTTATTCCTTATGCTGTACTCCACATCCTGCGACCATATATGTGTGTGTGTGTGAGTGTGTGATGTGTGTGTGTATGTATATATATATATATATATATTTATAGTTGACATTCATTATTATTCAGCTTCAGGTGTACACTGCAGTGGTCAGGAATACCGTTACACGACCGTGCCACAGCATTGCTGCTCACGTCCCTGAGACTTACAGAAGTTTCAGTGCACAATATTGCCTTGGACTATTCTTGAGAAAAGAAAACTCGAAAACGTAATATAAAAAATAATAATATAAGAGAAAGTTTGAGGCAGTGGATGATTAATTACAAAATAATTTTTTAGGCAGTAAGTCAAAAAGAAAAGCCTCACGAGAGCCAGCCGAGTGGCTCCGTTGGTTAAGAGCTCGCTCAAGGGTTTGAGCTCTGAGCAACAGCGGTTCGAGTCCGGCCCGAGCTGAGCTGCCGCTGAGCTGCCAACAGGTAGCAGGATGGCTCAGCTAAAAAAAATTAAAAAAAAATTAAAAAAAAAAGGCCTCATTATTATAGTGAAAATTCTCGAGGAAATGATGTCAAC